AGTTTACTTTGTCCCGTGGCCACAGATTATTTCTTTAATTCTGCAATGGCAAGGTCAAACACACACCGTGAGCAGGAAAGGGGAAGGAATGAACCTTTGGAAGTTCTAGGAACTAAACTAGGCAATTTACATATATTATCTCATTAAAGCTCCTTTTAAGAAAAGCAATGACAAGAAAATATCCACATTTTACAGACTAGTAAATCAAGGTACAGATTTCAGTGTTATCTATTCAAAGTTACAGGGGATAGAAAAAAAACAAGTTAAATTTGAATTAGGGAGTGGGAGGTATTGTTCAGTGGCTAAAGATGTGTGTGAGGCCCTGAGTTGAATTCCCAGCACCACAAGAAAGAAAAGGAAAAGTAAGAAAAGAAAGAAGCCATCCTTTTGCCAGGTATGGTGGCTTATGCCTGTAATCCCAGTACTTGCGAGGCTGAGGCAGGAAGATCGCCATGAGTTCGAGCCCAGCCTGGGCTACATAGTGAGTTCAAGGCCAGGCTGAACTACACAGTGAGACCCTGTCTCAAACCACTCCCCACAAAGAAGCCACTTTTTCTTCTAATTGTCTATATTATAGGAGGAAAAAAGAGGGAAATAAATGCTGTCAGTTTATATCATTCTACTTCTTTTGTAAAACAACCCACAAAAGTTAACTCCAAGTGCTTACCCTACAGAAAAATATGATAAAATCATGCTTAAACAATGTAAAAATATGAATTCACCAAAGACAGTGTCATAATTCAAGCCACACTGTTGTCCCATAATCCAAGTACGTTTATTTCTTGACTTCAACAGTTATCTTTTTTTGCCTTCACATTTTCTTTTGGCCCTCCCTCCAAGTAATCAGCATTCCTTTTGCCAGCATAATCTTACTATCACCTATTAAACAATAAATGCCTTTATTGATTTATCTAAGATCTCATTACAAACAAAGGCAATGGTGGCCATGTTTTTGCAATCGGACTCCTCCTGTGGCCTCAGCTGATTGGACCAAGAATAGACACCTGATTCAAGTCAGCCAATCAGATTTTAGTCAGGGAATCTGGAATTGAGTCTGACAAGATGAAAACCCAGTAGTGTGGGGCATCCTCTGCGTGCTGTGTGTGGAGAAAACTCTGCAGCAAGAATGAGAGAGACAAGTAAGCAGCTAGAAGGAGGCATGAAAAATCGAGCGGCTGTGAAGAAAGGCTGAATAGCTACTGACAGGACTCCTAATGTCTTCTTAGTCACGTCTCATTGGGTCTACTGGCCCAGCCAGATTCTTGTCTCTGAGTTCGATGAAACAGCCTGAATTCCTAGAACAATCCATTTGCTTCTCTCTTAATCCAACCTGAGCTGGATTCCACTTTTTGTAAGCAAGCGCATCTTCATAAGATACCAAGGGTTTCTATAGCAAAACTGAAGCACAAGCCTTCCAAAGGACAGCCTGGCCAAACGATGCCACTAGTGAGGAGAACTGTCTACCTGTGATCACGGGTTCTGCCGGGAACAACTACACAAATACCGTGACGGGCTGACACCTGGAAAGGGCTGTGAACCAACATCTGTACTCAAGATGTGATTCAGAGCAGGAAGGGCTCCGTGCGGAGGCCAGATGCCCGGCAGTGGGCAGCAGTGTGCCCACCGTGGCTCAGCACTCACCACGCCCCTTCCTCTGTGTGAGGATGGGTCTCTGGGAGGTCAGGGGCAGATTTCATTGTCATAGCAACAGAAAGACCTGCCTTTGTCTCTTACGTAAATCAGAGGTTAAAAGTGGTAGATGTATTTTGTTCATCAAAGATGCTCATGAATAAATTGTAGTTGATAATATAAGAAATCCAGAAATGACACCTAATAAAAGAGCTTCTTTTTTGTTTCTCCCCTCAGGGCCTTTGCAATGAGCTACACCCCTAGCCCTTATTTTTTTATTTTGAGACAGGGTCTCGCTAAATTGCTAAATTGCCTAGGCTGGGCTCCAATTTGCCATCCTCCTGCCTCAGCTTCCCATAGTGCTGGGATTGTGGGTGTGTACTACCTCACCCAATGGAGAGCTTCTTTTGACTAAAGATAAGATCTGGAAACACTGGGCTTGATTTCCTCCTGAGTGCGGCTGAGCAGCTTCCTCTTTAGACCAGGGGTCTAGGCTCTGGTTCACGCAAGCGTATTACGTGCCTGGACCTGGGAGTGCGGTGGTCTGAATGAGCAAGTGGATTCAGTCAGTTCATGTGGTACCAGAGGAGAGACACAAGCACACCACAGAGGCACGACGGTGCCACGGGCAAAGGGCATGGCGCTTGGTGCTCCTTAACCTGTGGACCCATTGTAAGCACAGGAAACTGAGGCCTGAGAGGTGGTGTAACTTGCATGGAGTTCTAAGCCAGTAGAGCTCTGGCTCAATGTCATATTTCATCTCTTCTTAGCTATGTTACCTTGCGCAAGTTACCTAACCACTCCGAGTCTCATAAGAACGTCTAGCATCTGGACATGGCGGCTCATACCCGTAATCCCAGCTACTCAGGAGGCAGAGGCAGGAGGATGGTGAGTTCAAAGCCAGCCTGGGCAATTTACCAAGACTTTGTCTCAAAATAAAAAATAAAAGGGCAGGAAAGATAGCTCAGTGGTAGACGGCTTGCCTAACGTGCACAAGGTATTGATTCAACCCTCCAGTACTGCCACACACACACACACACACACACACACGTCTTAACAGCCTTTAAAGGATATGCCACACACACACACACACACACACACACACGTCTTAACAGCCTTTAAAGGATATGCTGGGAATGAAATACATCACTTTTGAGGTCTCTATTTGTTTAGAAGTTGACAAACGGTTAAACTCTTCTGGAATCTGCACATGCTCCCAGTTTTTAAAAAAATTTTAAATGAAAAGATTATCAGTAATCCAGTTTATTTGGGTTTTGGTTTTCTTCTGTTTTTTTTGAGACAGGGTCTCACTCTATAGTTCAGGCTGGTCTTGAACTTGCTATGTAGCCCTGGCTGGCCCGGAGCGCATGGTCATCCTCCTGTCTCAGCCTCCGAGTGCTGGGATTACAGGCGTAAGCCACCATGCCAGGCTCCACTAACCCATTTTAAAGAAGACACAAGTGACAGTGGAAAATCTGTTAATAAACATGTGGCAGAAACATTCCCCAGAGCGAATGGAGGGGAAATGAACAGATGGGACCATTGGTTCCTTTGAGCCTTCTGTATGCCCGGCACCAGCAAGGGCATCTTAATAAGCCTAGTTCTGTCCCTCAGAGGCACCTTCCAACATCCGGGTATGGAGCCCAGCCCTTTCACACTTAGTCCTCAGGGGGCTCCCCAAGCTCAGTATTCTCTTCACTCCAGTATTATGGGATAAACTATACACTGACATGAGGCGATAAATAACAGGATTTGTAAACGGTGGAGCCAAGCCCCAACCCAAGCCGGGCGTGGTGGTGCACCCCTGTGATCCCAGCACTCCGAAGGCTGAGGCCGGAGAATCACCATGGGTTTGAGGCCAGCCTACACTACATATGCAAGTTCAAGGCCAGACTGCATTACATAGTGAGACCTTGCCTCAGAAACACAAAAACAAAATAAAACAGAACAAATAAACCCGAACCCAAAGCCCCAGGTGATCACTGTACAGAGATACACTGGTGCGGCCCAGAGCACAGTGCCAGACCATGGGAAAGCCTTCCCGAGTGGCCCATGTCCCTGGGTTACACGAGCCGGTAGGAGAGGGGAAAGGAAGTATCAAGACGCAGGCACAAAATTCACTTCACTTCCAAAGAAAAACAACTTTACTACAAATAGAACTGTGGGACTTATACACAGAAAGAATCATAGACAGCATCTATCAACGGCCTCTCATTTGCGATGTGGGGAAGCTTAGGAACAGGTACAATCCAAGCCGCACAGCAAGTTCGCACCGGCTCTGGGACGGGAACGCAGCGGTGGCTCCCAGGCCTGGGTGCAAATAACCTGCCCACGTGCCCGACATCCTTAGCTAACAAGTATCATCTTACTCAAATAAACTTTTTTTCAACAGGTCACTTTTTAACTTTTAACAAATATTGTAATGACAATAAGGAAGGAAAAAGGAACCCCACCAAAGTAGTCATTTCTTATTTGCTTTAAAACATGCCCCCCACCAATGCTGTATCTTCTAATTTTAACAACCAGGGTTTTATTTTGGGGACCTGTACATGGAGCACTATGATTACTGATAAATACAGAATCACTTTTGGATCTCACCGAGCCTGGGGGGTGTAGCTTCAGGACTGACTTCCCACCCATAGGCAGCTAATAGCAGCAAGGCCTCTCCGGCAGTTAAAAAAGACACACATTTAAACAATGCTCTGCTTGCAGTCACCACACTCCATACCCACTCTCCACCCACTGCGGCCCCAGGGACTCAGGGGTTAGAACTGCGAGGTCAGATTGGAATTCCCACCTCAGTCTGTGGCTGCCCTGCGCTTGTTTCCCAGCTGATAAGAGCCCTTCGTCCTCACCCGGCCGGGCGGCTGGTGGCAAGACCTTGTCAGCTGGTCCGTGTTCAAATGAGGAAGATCTACAAGGAAGTGAAAGCGACTATAGGCCTGACTTTTAGTTCAGAGAGTGCCCAGCTGCAGCAGCCGGTTACCGTAGGGTTCAAATATGTAGGAGAACACACCCCAGCCCGGCCCCTGCCCCCAATCCCATGACTTGACTTAGGAGGTGAGCAAGGACAGAGGGTTGGGGAGAAACCAAGGGTCCTTTCCAGGCAGGGGGGCACTGGACCATCCCTAAGAACCAGGCCAGATGAAAAGCAGTGGGACATAAGAACTCAAGAAAGACCAACCCCCCAGTCACCTTCAGCTTTGCTTTGGAAGAGCACTGTGAAAATTTGGGAAGGATGCAACAAGCATTTTGTCCCCCAGCCTCCACACTCCTGCAGCTTAGCACTAGAAGTGCTACCTCATAAAAACGGCTCTGTGGAGTGGACCCCCCTTTACCAAGCGCTAAGTTCAAGTGTATACAAAGCCAGCTTTCCATCCAGGCTGCCCACTTCCCAGGGAGCTCCAGGACGATCCGACCACCGTGTGCCAGGGAATGCTGTCTTGAAAGCATAGTCATATTCCTTCACTGTTCTACCTGGAATCATCTGAGCACTTCTCCAGGAACACAGTGAGTGTGCAGGCAGCTGCCTTGCTATTCTGATTAAAATCTCTTATTTCATTTCCAAGGAGTGATAAAAATTTTAAAAACGTATTATAATAAGAGATGCATTGCCATTAATCCCCTGCTTGCCACTTTCTGCAGCAGCTCTGCAAGTCCTCTTTCCTGAGTGTCTTTATGAGGTGTGATTAGAAAATACAATGAGTGAAAAGAACAGTGACTGCTTCTGCCGAGGGCCATCCAATGGAAAGGCAGGTTGACAACGACATCACAGTGTGTCCTCATCTATCTTGTCCACTATATTTGGCACCAGGTGACCTCTTACTCTTTCCCTAAGTCAAAATGACCATGACAGGTGAATGTTTTGAATCAACTGAGGACATGGGAACAGCCACAACAGGGCAATTAAAGACCCTCATGAAAGAAGGCTTCCAGAAGTGCTTCTGAAAGTGTCAGGAATAATGGGGTAAGTGTGTTCAAAGGGAGGGAATTATGTTGAGGTGTGCTAATATTTTTAATTTAAATAGTCGTTATATTTTCTGATCAGACCCCATCTATCTCAGCTGTCCTGTCTCTAAAACAGCAGTCACACCGGGCTCCTCCTCTTCCTCATGATGAAGCCTGAGGCCAGCCTGGGGCTACACATGTGCTGCTCCCTCTGTCCGGAATGCCTGGCCCCAGACAGAGGCATGCTGGGTTCTTTCACTTCTTTCTGGTTTGAAATCATATCACTCCCTCCCTCAAGGGCACTGTTCCTGTCCTCACATAGGGAGAAGCTGACCTCACTGTCACAAATGCTTCTCTGCTTCGTGTAGAACTTACATTTCTGCTTTCCTTGTTGGTCTGCCTGTCTTGCCCTACAAGAATGTAAGTTCCACGGGACAGAAGCCTTGATAAGCTTTTCTCCCTGCTATGTCCCAAGGCTTCACGGGCAGAGAGAACAGAGTCTAAGACATGTTTCAAGCAAAGGACGTAATGCCTTCACTGTTCAGAAGCTAGACACAGTTCACCCTGTAATACAGTCCCAAGTGACTTACAAAGACAGTAGAAGCCAAACAACCCCTAAGCCTTGGCCCAGAAAAACTCACACATAAGAATCAAGCTTTCCACCCAGAAAACAAGGTGAGCTATTAAATTCCTCATCAGATGAGACATTCTGGAGGAACCAGAGAGTGAGACGGATGTATCTGGGACGTCCTTACTTTGGATCTATTGAGTGGATGAAGTTTTATGTTTCACCCAAATGATGTCAGCCTCGGTTGAACAGGGCCCTTTTATATCGCCTCTGGGTGGTGACCGGAGGATGAGCTATTGAATGGCCTGAGCTGACACAGAGGTCTGCAGACAGTCAGCTGCGATTCCCGTCTTCAAGATGCTGCCTGCCCCTCAGCATAACTGCACACTGGCGTTGGGTGCTCACTCTGGGTCATGCAAGGGTGGAGCACTTCCAGCGCGCAAGCTCTTCTTCCCTTCTGTACCCATCCCCTGAGGCAGGAAGTGTGACTATTTATTTTACAGGTGGCAAAACTGAGGTGTGACCAGGTTAAGTTGTTCCGGATAGTATTGCTACAAGCTAAGTTAGAATCTCAGGTTCCATTAATTGGACCGAAGCAGCATGAGACATTCTGGAGGAACCAGAGAGGCTCCTCCCTTACACTCCTTCCTATTCACTGGAGTTGAAGGAAACAGGCTGAGAGCAGAAGAGACAAAGAAAGAAAGGAAAATGGGTAAGTGGGTGGGGGAGGAATGAGGAAAAAGGTGAGAAGTCAGTATGCCAAAGAGGAATTGAGCCCCTGAGTCACTGGCTGAGAGAAAGACGGTGACAAAATGGCTGCCGACCACGTGCCAGGCATCATCCCAAATCCTTTCCTTTACTTATATAAGCCAACCCTGTAAGAGGGATTCCATTTCTGGAATGAGAAAACTGAGGCTCAATTAAGGTGAATGGCTAACCTCCCCCCACAAGATCACCCCACAAGCTAGGAAGAGGCAGAGCTGGATGTAAACCAAGGTGTTCTGACCCCAGACGCTGTGCTGTATCACATGACTTCTGGTACAGAGTATCTTACAATACATCTTATATATTAAATCCAGCCTAGCTTGGGTATCTGATATGGGAAGTGTGATAAAAAATATTACACTAAAAGACACATTGCCATCAACCCCCTTTAAGTTACCCCTCCTACACACACACACACACACACACACATGTCGAACACACTTATTCCATCATTCTTGCCATGTTTTGGAAGTCCTCTTTCTTATCTTTAGCTGTGCTGTCATGGCTGACTCGATGACCTGAACTAATCCAAAATATTTACCTCTGCAGTCATTTGGACTTGGGGGAAGAAGCAGAAATTCCACAGTGCCAGATACTGTGAAAAAGGTGGGTAGGAACGTATCACGTTTTCACAAACCTACCTTTCCATCACACGGCACTTGACAGCAACATTCACAGTACTTTTCACCGTCTCTTGTAGACGCTTATGAAATAAGACTTCCAGAACTGTTTCAGAAAGTGGCAAGAACAATAGGATATGTGTGTTCAAATGAGGGCAGGTGTTTTGAGGAGGACTAGTAACAATGTGTCTTTTACTATAATAAATATGTGAAATTTAAATATTCACTATTTATTTTGATCATTCTCTAGCGTCTTCACTGCAAACTATAACGCTGTTCAGGAAAAGATTGTCTAGATTCACCCAGGCCACCCTGGGCTGGTTCTGGCCACTCTCTGGAAACAGCACCAGAAAAGAATTGAAGTTTTTGTTCTTGGACTAGAGTTTCCATTTAACCCAGTCATTCCCCTCCTGGGTATCTTCCCAAAAGAATTAAAACATACCATAGAGATATACGCACACCTGTGTTTATAGCCACACAGTTTGCAATAGCTAAATCTTGGAAATAACTCAAATGCCCATCAACTGGTGAATGGATAAAGAAGATGTGTTTTTTTTTTTTTTTTTTTTTTATACATGCAGTGCTATTCTGCTGTCATAAAGAAGGATACACTTGAGACATTTCTAGGGAAATGGATGCACCTTGAGACCATGCTCTTAAGTGAAATAAATCAGACTCACATGTGTAAATACCACATTTGTTCTCTGGTATGAGAAACTGAAAGTGTAAATAAAGACCAAAATGTATCATAGGTATTGTGAAATAGGAAAAAAATGTTCAAATGGGGAAGGGAACAAGAGAGAGGGGAGGAGGAAAAGAAAGAAAGGAAAAGTAAAAAAAATGAGAAAAGAAGGAAAACATGGAAACAAAGCTTTTGTAAACAGGGAGGGGAGGAGGGGTTGAAGGAAGGAAAGGGGAATGGAAAAAAAATGTTATATCATGTACAGCTACAGATTCCCTATGATGAATGTGATCAGTATGTATATCTAAAATGTGCCAATAAAATCTGATTGAAAAAAAGAGAATCAAGGTTTTTGCAGTGACCATCGCCTGGCCATTTCCTGGCACTGCCCTAAAGACACACAGGCAGCTCCTAGGAGCAGTGTCTGTGCTTGCCGGGGTGTCACCGAGCAGTCAGGATGGGATTAAGCCCACCCTTGGGCTGCTCCCTCGGCTCAGCCATGCTGATGTGAACCCATGCGGTGCAGGGTGCCCTTTGTCAGGTGTATGGCCCGCTGAGCCTGACTCCATGTTGATCTGGGCTTACGCTATAGCCTAGAACCTCAAGCAGCTCATTCAGTGGGGTGAGGCTCGGAGTCATGTGCTCAGTCCTTCACTCAATCAGTACTGACTGGGCACTTCCTACATGAAAGCTGCGCTGTTGGTGCTAACACAGATCAGCAGGCGAGACCGACAGGCCCCCGTCTCTGCAGCTGGTCCTAGGCCCCCAGCCTCAAGCTTACAAACACTTGCAACTGGATAATTCTTTGCTGTTCTGTACACTCTAGAGTCCTAAGCAGCCTGCTATTGACTGGAGGCCAGGACACCACTGTGACACCAAACAGATCTCCAAAAATTGCCAAGTGTCCCTGTGGGACAAAATCACCCCTTTGGAGAACAACTGCTGTAGAAGTGAAACAGTGAACATTAAATAAGATATTTTCAGATAATAGTAAGGGCTCTGAACTCAGTTTTGAACAAATATCACTTTTCCTTAGACAGAAAGCAGAGGAAATAAGGGTACTGCTGGGAAGAACTTCACGGGCCCATGGCTCGTGACAATTGGCTCCCAGTGGACTGGAGCTAACCCTGTTTGGGGAACAGAAGCATTCGACCGCAGACTCCTTTCTGCCTGGTAGAAGTTGGAGGAAAGTGAAGAAGAAAGGTTGCCAAGGCACTGGAAAGACATTTCCACAGCTCTAGTATCAACCTGGCAGGCAATTCCAGCCAGCTTCGGGCAGACATTCTCTGTGGAGGATGTTCTGGTAGAATAGCCGTTATGGGATTATAGTCTGATCTCAAGGCTGGTGAGAAGAAAAACTCAGTTTAAAGAAGAAAGAAACAAACAACTTTTTATGTCTGGAGCTGAAGGTCATCAGGACACACCATGGTGGTATCCAGGAGAGGCGTCCAGGATTTAGAATCAGAAATCTTGGGATGCATCCCAACTCTGCCATCTATATCTGAGAATATGGCTTGAACATCATGGTGTTATTCTTAATCTGGCCCTGCGAAATGGGAAGGATAGGAATTAACCTCATCTAACTTTTTAAACTTTTCCTTTGATACTGGGGAGTGAACTCAGGGCCTTGTGCATGCTAAGCACATGCTCTGTCACAAAACCACACTTCCACCCCCTCTCACACAGCTTTATTGCTTGTATTAAAGCAAGTTGAACCTAAAATCTACCTCAAAGGCACCTATGATAACCATATTGCCAGTACTACCCTAGTTATTATGCATAGCTCAGAGGTGAGGGTCTGCATTGAGCACCTGACATACATTACCCACTTCACCCTTATCCTTGTGCTGTGTGTTCTATTAATCCTGCAGATGATTTGCAAGTTGTTGGGTATGATTCTGTTTACCCCAAATGGTTAAGTTGATGA